CCTAAAGTCTTCAGTACTCATTTGGAAAACCAACTTTCATCTTTTTTTCATCTGTCCACTTCCGCTACTCACTTTCAAACCTTAGATGCATTCTGTTTGCGGAACCCATGGGATATCACTCAGCGTTAAACTAATAAGGTCAATCAGATTTTTGAAACCCAACACATTGTCTGACCTCATCCTTACTCACACGACGCTCTCATCATACGCGGGTGATGATGCACAGACAATGGTTGTCGAAGACGGATGGTCGTTCGACATAGTCTGCCTGGAGAGGCCAAGTTTCGCAGCCACAGAGCAACACGGTGCACACATGCCCTTTCAGTGAAAGGGATATCGCGCCGGCACCAGACATGCCGCAGATTAGCAAACGCTGATCTAGCTTTGATCACGCGTTCAGAGATTTACCCGTCCACACCTCCGCCAGTTATTATGCAACTTTCAAAGTGGAGAAAGCTTTCGACTACTTCCAGAGTGTCATTACCCAACGAAAGTGCACGAATGGGTTCCTGCCAATCTTGCAACAACACTGCACTCTTAAGGTGCAAAGGACATACCATAACGAGTAACCTCAATTGCCAAGTAATGCAAACGACTCTTGAAGCGTTGTTGCGCCGTCATCCAGTAAGGTAATACAATCGGCATACTCTAAGTCTACGACTGTCTCCAGGAAGAAGCTTGACGCCGTCGTTCATTACGTTATGTAACGCGTTTTGCAGACAGATGAGAGTGAAAATTCCCCACAGGCCCTAACCTTCCCCGAGGTCTGGTAATAGAGCGCTATTAGGAGTAAAACGTACTTGTCGGGTACTCCGTATATCCGCAAAAAAGTTCCACAGTGCGGGGCGATCGATAGAGTCGAAAGCTGCTCTGATGTCCGAAAACACGATGATTTACCGTTTGTAAGCGTGGTAGTGTTCTAGTAGCTGACGGTGGATTTGATCTATGCAACCACGGCGTGCACGAACCCGGCCTGCTCCTCGCAGATTTGCTTTTTACGAAATGTACTTATTCCATGTAAGAAAACGGACGATAGTGGCTTGGGCGCTATTGAAATCAGGCTGATGCCCCCGTGGTTGAAAGAGGCGTTGTGACAGCCCTTCTGGGTGTAACAATCGATTCTTTCTATGTTTGGGGTGCACTTTCGGTTTCTCAGATCTTTGAGAACAGTCTCACAAACTCTCTCACGAGAGCTTCTTCATCATCTTTAAAGAGGGCAGGTAGCAGGCCGTCTGATCCAGCTGCCTTGTGGCGTTTCAGGACTTGGAGTTCCTTCCGGATTATCACTCCTATGGGCGGTCGCGTGGATAGTAACCAGAGTGCACTCTCAGAACTGCTTGGGACAGCCAGTGCGGGGGGCTGGCTGAACTACTATGTGAAGTGTTCTGTTGAATGGTTTAAGCGTCAATGAAGACTATATAAGCGTGCCGTCTACTTCATAGATTGTTTCACTGTCTTTTGGGGCCCGTAAGACGGATGACAAGAATAGTTGGCGAGTGTTTCCACACCTAGCTGCTGAATTAATCTCCTTTGCATGTAGCGTCCACCAGGCTTCTCGGTCGTCTCCCAAGGTCTTTGAGTTCTGGTTACAGAGAAGGGCGCTGTTCATAATATTCGCTGTCTGCCGGGCGTCAAGAAGTTTGCGAGAGTTGGGGGATAACCAGTGTTTTACAACTCAGCCACAACCGTATAAACTGGCCGAGTGCATTCCAGTTTGAATGGTTGTCCAGTGTTGACCTACGCTTTGTGGTGGGGTAGTAGTTAGCCTTGCGACCAACTCATTTTGAAAATCGGCTAGCACGGCCGGGCCAAAAGGCTTGGAGACGTCAAGCTGTTTGCATCATCTTTTTGCGGCCACCAAATCGCATTGAAAATATGGCACAAACCAGTGTGGTGGGAGTTCAAGTAGTTAAACCAGTACGAACGGTAGTCTCACAAATTCTCTCCATCTATGGCTAATAGCTATATGATCAATCTGATTCCACGTTTGTGCCGAAGAGGGATTACGCCAAGTGGCGAGGCGACGCTTTAGGTGTCTGAAGTTTGTGCTAACGAGGAACAGACCGTGTTCTGAGCAAATGCTAAAAAGTCGATCCCTATTATCTAAACGACGGTTATCAAGACCATGATGGCCACCAAGGTGGATCTCATCGGGTGACAAACGCCAACACGTGCGTTTAGGTTTCCAGCCAGGAGCACGATAACATCATCATCATAGTACAGCGAAATACAGAGGAGCGAACTTCACTGATCGCCTCCAAACTCGCAATGCATATGCATTGGGGTTTGATGGACGGGTACTGCTAGGGTGTCCAGTCACTAAGCAGGAGAACGATGAGGTTTCTCAACCAAAGCCTTTAGTTCTGACAAGAACCTAGCCGCAAGGCAGTGGGTGAAGTGAAGTTGAGGCTCATTTGCTTCGATCAATTACTCCTCAAACCACTTTTGCCGACTGGAACGCAAATTCTAGTCGAACTCCCAACCTGGGGGACCAGGAGACTAGACTTCGTCCGACCTTTACCCTTCGACATTCAAGGCTTGATAAAAGCCATCCTGTGTGGCTCGTTGGGTCAGAGAGGTGCACAGGCCATCACACCACGTCAAGGTACAGTCTCGTCGTGATATCGGTGCTTTGATAAGAAGCTCATGTAGGTTGTGATAGGTGTCTTTGACTGCATCCGGACTACAGTCTGTGTGGATGAGGATATTGAAACGGTAATCAAGGGACTCAATAATATAGATCGTGTTAGGCTTCCTGTATGGGGACACATGGATCAGCGTAACCAATGACTAAAAGTATTGAGTGATATGGCTGAGTTTTCTAAACATTAGTGCTAATGCATCGACTTAATGTCCTCGCAACTTTACTTTGCATGAATTCTCCATTTTCACCTTGATGAGACCTTCGGTTCACTATTTCATCCAAGTAGCCGACCAAAGCCGCCGCTACCTATTGTAAGAACGACTAATTTTCCGCTCTCATCCGTTTCTACTTAGTATGGATTTCATAACAAAAATTTTGGAACTAAACCTAATTTAGCAGACCATTTTGAACCAAAGCAGCGATAAGCAAGATTGTATTGTGCTGATTGCGTCCCCAGAATGCGACTGAGAGGACGGTCACCGATTCGCGGTTAACCGTAAAATAATGTGAGCCCAGGCTCACGAAGTAAACGATTGCGGACGGTCAGCAGTAGCGATCAAGGATGTGATGGGCCTAACACTTGAAAAAGATTCTCAACAAAAACCACCTGCGGACAGCGCCACTAAATATACCACTTGTCAGTCATGTTACACTTACCAAGCAAGTTCCTTCAGGTGAGATGGGTGCAGCATCCAAGGGCACATTGGCTCCATTGGATAGAGGTGGCTGACTATAGCTCGCACTCAGTTATTCCTCTTCGAACAATGCCCAACTCTGAACCAGGTGATAAAGCAGCTCAAAACGCAAGTGACTACCAGCTTTCTTCATTACACACATTTGTGTGGTGAATAGCAGACGGGGCGAACCCCTTAGTCACGGAGACCTGCTGCTCGGTCATGGAAACTGTTAACTTAAGCCTCGAGATTTGGAGTGGCGAACCACATAAGACCCCGATGGCTTAGGTGTGGTATTGAACCGGACGACAGCAAAGCTGTCTCCAACCAAAGTTGGGTGACGGTGCTCGAACCTCCGACTATGGGGTCCAAAGCACGCCTATGACAGCAACTTAACCACTGCGAATAGACATCGCACCTACTCTATTTCCGAACTCAACAGGAGCTTTAATTAGCCGTATATTCATCTGTGTATCTGATACAAGTAAGCCAAAATCCTCTCTCGCCTTCCTTCCGTCAGCATCAAAATCTCAGAGTTTACCATCGTCGACAAATGCCCCTTTTTGTCTTCTGTCCCTTCAAAATAACCACACTCATTGGTAACCCGATGCGTAGATTACAACAGGCGTATTCAGCTTGAACACTTCAGATGTTTCATGGAAGAATCTTACATCTAAGACTTTGATTGAGCATCACATTAACGGCACTACGGCTAACACGCTTTAAACCGCTGAGCGATAGATGAACCCAGATGTGGCATGTTTTCAACCACCCAAGTGCAGTGTTCATTCAGGACTAGTAGGAGCCTGTGCCTATAATCACCCTCCAGCTACTTCCAGCTGTTCAGTGTTAGGGAATAGATCGTTAGGCTTGAACACAATTTAACATGAATTAGTAACATGATAAGCTGCTCGGATTACTGCTTAGTGGCTGGACACCCTAGCAGTACCCGTCCATCAAACCCCAATGCATATGCATTGCGAGTTTGGAGGCGATCAGCGAAGTTCGCTCCTCTGTATTTCGCTGCACGATGATGATGATGACTTTTTAAAAGCACGAACGACTGCATTGGCCTTTGGGAAACCAAAATGACTGACAGAAAGTTCTGGACAGCTGCTTTGTCCTTGTCGAGACCCAAGGTGTCGGTTATCGATTTGGAAGCTCACGACTTGAAACCCGGGGGTAAAATGTATGCAGTACAGACTCGTCGTAAGAACGAGATCTTACATCTTGGAATAATGAGAAGTATCGTATTGGTTATCACATAAAGCGAGTGATACCCTTTTCATTACACATTTTTGACCTACAGAAGAGATGAACCCGTTCATCGCAAAACTACTTTATTCATGGAAATGATAACCTGAGAGCTGAGAATTAAGGAAACTACGAGGCGTTTCACCATGTTAGTCATGGTATTGAACTGGACGAGATCAGAAGCGGACAAAATTGCGTATGTAATACACACTTTACTGACATTTCGAAATCAAACGGGCTAGTCCAACCATAACGTTCAAAATAGTTAAAGCATTAGAGACCAAACAAAAAAGCTTAAACGTCCCGAAATGAGATTTAACTTGACAAACCGCTTACTTCGTCTTCGGATTGAGTTTCGGAAAGACGGTCTGACACTTCTCTCATTCGATCAGTTTCATCTTCGTCAGTCCCAACTACCCGATCCCCAGCTCGCCTAGCTTGGCCTTCGGTGTCACCACGAGTTTGTTCGGCTAAATTAGGGTCATCTTCGTCTTCATCCTCATCCTCAGTACCAGCAAGATCATCATACTCAACCTCGGCGAATTCGCTAGTACTTGCATGCGAATCGGAAGAACCCCGATTAGCATGCCCTTGAGGAGGATCGTTTCCTCCAGAATGATAGTCGGAAAACAAACTGGAATCAACAATTTCATCAAGCTCAAATATGATAACACCAAGTCCAGTGCCTTTCCAGTCGGATACAATCATGCGACAGTCCAATCCGCCACTGATCAACTGCCATGCACGATTTGGACGAAAACGAGCAACTGAGCAAATGTTGTCGTGCTTCTTGAGAGTGCGCGCAACATTGCCAGTGGAAATATCCAACACCTGAACAGCCCCAGTATCATCAGCGGCACACAAGAAGGATTCGTTCGAAAGCACATCCAACGAGTTGATTTCATCTTCGTTTACCTGAAAATACACTGGATTATGAAAAACAAACTCACATTCCATTCGGATAGAGGTGCAGACAGATGTCGGAAATCCCACGCTAAAATACGCCCGCCATGAGCACTGTACAAAACTTCGGGTTTATCAGGATTAAATTTCAAGGCAGCGCAAGGATCCATTCTTGGAGTGCTTTGAACGGGATAAGATATCTGATCTGGTGCCCAAAAATAAACGGCACCATCCTCGCCACCAGACGATAACAAACGGTCTGACAAGCTTAAGGAAGTGACGGAATCCGTGTGACCTCGACCTAAATCCAGCACCTGCGACACCATACCGAAAAACTTGACTACTCAGTCAATTCCGATCGATATCCACAAAGTGAATCGTTTCGATTATGGAAGGTATAGAATGAGACTCGATTTTTTAGTGTATCCCAAGTTCTGTGAATAACAAAGATCTAATAACACGGACATACTTATCGCGAAACTCTGCTGAAGCCTCTATTTCTTTCAGTGATCCAGAAGCACCAATCAGTCCAATGCAAGCAAGGCCGAACGATACAACTGTTTGAAAAACAATCTGAACACACGCAATAAATAGTAAATAACACGAATTACATCGATCGGTAAGGAGTCAGATTCTTGTTCAGTTAAGCGAAGATATGAACGATCTGACAGGAAATGCTTCAGTCAAATAAAAATCATACGTTGCGTAGCTGAATAGGCAGCATGCAATAGTCCAAGAAGCCCAATAATGACAATAGTGCGCGCAATCAGAACCATCTCATCGCCATGTATCCCTTCGCGCCTTTAAATGACCTTCAGAGATTCGAACGATAAAACAAACGATGAGTAAACCATTCAGGGTTTACTAATCCAGAGATGACTCTTATGCTACCTGTGAAGGAGCAATATATATTGGAGCTTCTGGCTTCAAGTATATTTTTGATATCGTTGTGTACCGCAATCGTTAGCAACGATTTTACCCTTTTTCCCCGTATATCAATAAATGTGGATAAAATTTTACAAGCTTTGCAAGATAACCGCATTTTAGTTAATAAAGTTATTTATTGTTTTTGTTTTTAAAAATTTAGCTTTAGTAAGTGCTTTCTGGAAATTCTAGTTGTCATTGATATTTGCTAGTAGTGGTTTTTCTCTAATGCGTAAGCATTTTTCACCCGTGTGAAATTCATCCTGTCAATAGCCTGCGACTTAAATTATAAGAGAGAGCATATATTTTTGGATGTTTATCACATTATCGCCCCATAAGTCTGTGGCTAGTGAGCAGATTTTCTTATCACTTTCGCCAACGCTCATTGGTTGCCTCGAGCACCGAACCATAAGATAAAAACTACCGCAGTAGTTGTGACTGCGATTCTTCAAGTTCACCTGTTTATGGTGCTATGGATCCTCCTAGACCTAGTAATGTACAGGTTGTGCTTGATCAACTGGGTTTCGGTTGGTATCAGATAAGGGTTATTATTATCATGGGCATCGCGCAAGCCACAGACACAATGGAAACACTCATACAAGCTATACTTGGACCTACTCTGAGGTGTGAATGGAATCTGGATTCTGATTTAGTAGCCCTGCTTGCCACCATGGTCTTTCTCGGTGTTTGTATAGGTTCACCTCCAATGGGCTATGCTTCAGATCATCTGGGGCGTAAGGCCCTCAGTTTACTATGTTGCCTAGCATTGATTTATATGACTTGGCTTTGTGCGATAGTTCCCACATATTTGTGGCTCGCAATCCTGCGATTTCTATCCGGACTTTATATCAGTGGATTATTGACCGCTGGAAGTTCAATGATATCAGAATTTCTCCCGGAAACATATCAAGCTACTGGACAACTTTTGGTGTGTTCGTTCGATTCCTTTGTTGGCCTGTACATCGTCGGAGTCGGTTTTGGTTGCCTGGTGGGACATCTGAGTTGGAGATACTTCTTACTCTTCAGTACAATTCCGTTACTGATATCTGCACTGGGAATGTACCTTTTTCTTCACGAATCGCCCATGATATTGGCTCACTGGGGCAAACAAACCGAAGCCGCAAGAGTGTTAGACGCGATCGCTCGCTCGAACAATCGAGTACCAAAACCGGAATCTGCGGACACAAATGATACGGAACCGTTTAGTTTTGTCGGTCGATTGCCAGAAAATGAAGCTTTCGAAAGAGACGATCTTTCTGTTTCCGGATTTCTCGATCTTTTACACTTCTTCATCAGAAACTATGCTATGCCTACGTTGTTATTAATTGGAATCAGCTTTATTTGGGGTATGATTATGTACGGTGGGACAACATTATTGCCAGTAGAACTTCCCTCCACAGCAAGAACGTGTCTTCAAGTAAGTCAAGCACACCCAAGCCTACAGATTCTGTTTGATTCTGTTGATAAAAATTGTTGTTGTTTCTTCTGTTTGCAAATGCCCAAAGAACATACATATTTCGCATTATGCTGCGAACATTTATGAAATTGGAGAAACGGCAGGTACGATAGTTGAGAGTTCACTACTAAAATTTGAATAAATTCGACGGATGAAATTTGTACCCGATTGAGTAGAATACACCACCACGATGCCTCCGGAATAAAACTGTGACTGCACCGCGTGAATGCGCACGTCTTGTTGAGAAACTCGTTTTTCTAAGGGTGGCTCAATTTTTATTCATGTCAAGTTCAGTAAAGTCAGTAGGAAGAGGTTTATGCAACCGGAGGAAGGGAGGGATTAATGTTTGCTTTTCATACCCCATCTGTGGGTGTAAAATTTATAAAATAAGAAAGAATAAGAAATAAAGTTGATCAGATCCGGTTTGCTCCCATGGATATAAGTAATTGCGTAATTTTGTGAAAACTTTTACCTCATCAACACGCAGACGTACGAGCTATGGCTTTCGAAAATTTATTTTGCAATGGATAACGGTTATCTGCGAGTATCGTTGAAATAAATATCACACATACATACAGGTATCTGATAACACGAGATCCTGCCAATGTCAAGTGTGTAGTATTGCCGAAAAATTGGGAGACGCGTTTTGGATATCTTTCCTGGGAAAGTTTTATTTAGTAGACCGGGAAAAAAACAATGAAAGTAGTATACAACCGGTGGAGGTACATCTACCTTCACAAATTTAGAATGCAACTTGTGAGGAACAGGAAGTTTTCTTCTGTGTAGCGAGAAATGTGATGTGATATTTTGTGTCACCAAGATATTTTAACATTGCCGATGTTGATATGCGTTCGTTCTTAGCAGAAAGCGACAGGGACGTTTTAGTAAAGACTTTATACAAGGGCTGAGCAAACATTTTTCCTGATACGCACGCAGTACGCGAGTAAGAGGTGCAGATAACTGGGGGCAAGGAAAATGTGAGCTCGTAATCTCGTATTGTGATTGCAACTCACACACAGAACCAAAGATGAACACAGCCGAGAACACGGCTTACAAGTCATACGAGGGTCACCGTTATACTCGGATTGTAAGGATGGAACTTAGTGAGATTCACTTGAGACCGATGACTTTGTACAACTACAAATGCGGTTTAAAACAGCAACAGAGATTTAATCGTTTGCCAGCTGCCTTTGATGACGATGCGCCTACAAGAATCATTGTGTTCTCAAATGTCAAGCGCATGATGTGCGGAATCCAATAGGAATCACTAACATCTGCAGTGGAGGCCTTCATTGAACTGATTGAAGGGTTACATCCGCTTCGATATGGTCGAGCTGTTTCACCAAATAGTTTGAGTGCATGGAGCGGTATCTGTGCGTAAACACTGGTGGAGAATACTACGAAAAAATGTAACGCTTATTTTTGTGTACCAAATGAAAGATAATTTTTAAAAAATGAATCTATCACAACGGTTGTCCATGTTTACTCAATTAAAATATGACTACAGAGCTAAAAAAGTACTTTCCAGTATTTCACTGCAGAGTAACATGGTTCCGTGTTAAAAAGTGTTGAATTCCAGGGGCGCAAATTCACTCGTTATTTGGGGACCGAAATATTCTAGAGTTGTTGGACACATGTTGATCTGAAGGCCAACGATACTGCTGACTTGTTTCACCCAGCCTCGTCTGCCCCAAAAGTACTTTCTCGTGGGAAATATTTAATGAATGTACAAGTCTTGCCACACATTCCCAATTGTAGAAATCAGAATGATGCATTGGCCGGTTTTCAGCTCTTCGTGATCATAGCACAACACAGTTAATTTTTCCAGATGCAATTTCGTTTCCATTCTTTGATCTTCGTAGATCAGTCCTCTTCACCGTCCAGCCGTAATTTATCGTGTACGAATATGCTCATGATTGAGTATCTCTTTTTACCGGTCTTCAGAGTGTCTGTCAACACGAAGAATATCAACACTGATAATATTCAGTTGATCGAGACCCTGAGCTCATGTTCCTTGTAATTTGAAAACAGGTTCCAGTTATCAAACTCATTTTAGTTAACTACTTGCACTAGTTGTTCACCCATCACTTCATTTTTGATCTGACTTTATCACGATATATTTCATGAATCGTATGTACTTAAAACATTCAGGTTTCGAGAGCGTTTCTCTACATTTTCAAACTTCCAAATTTCTCTGTCCTCCTTCGTCGTTCAATCGTGGAATCTGTGAAAGTTTGCTATATTTGTACTGTTCGTTTGTATTTCCCCTCGGGAGTGGGGGGGGGGGGCAATTGAGATCGAATTCATCCAAACCACCAAATCCGTGCAAAACTTCTTTTCTGTTGACGTGTTATTCGAAAGACTGTTTGTCCAGTTTGACTTTCATGTGTGCAAACCCATTGATATCTGTGTGTCTATTGACCACCAATATCATGTCTAATGAACGCTGTTGTCAACCCAGCGAACTGTGTGCCCAATTACCCTACTCATTCTCCGACCATTGACGTAACACCATTTACACAATCAGATTCCTCCGTTATCTTGACCGTCAGTCCTCAAATCGAACCCCGTTTGATACACGATTCTCTTCATCGCATCTAAACCTCACAACAAGCACTCTTCCAGATGGTAAATTTCTCTCTCGTTCTCTCTCTCTCTCTCTCTCTCTCTCTCTCTCTCTGAATGGCACAAATCCCACTCCAAAATCGAATGAAATCAAAGAGACCAAACGGTCTTCATTGAGTCATGAATCCCGGAGAGAGGGAACGCTGGGGAGAGGGGCGACTGGAAAGGGTCAGATGTAGGAGGATAGCTCCTCACTATATATATATATATATTAAAGTTTAAAAATACGCTCCCCTATCAAGTGAGCATATGATGAAACAGTTTCTTAGCAGAAATTTTATTTTGTTCTAAACTGATCGAATTTTTTTCCAATACAACCTAGGTTTCCCATTCGTCTGACTTCACTAAGTAACCATTCGTTCATTACCATGAATGATTTAGAGATGACAGTCAAATCTAGTCAAGTATCTGTGGCATTGGATTGAATGTTTGATAATTCGGCCATTGAAATGAAACTCATTTAGAACGGTGACGATTCACAGCTCAGAACGTCTCCACTGAAAAATCGTCTGATCCGGGAACTTGTCACATGCTGATCCAAACGAGAATCCGCTCTCCGTTTGCTGTCGGCTGTGATCACTTCTTCTGTGCATAATAGCCCGTTGTAAAACTGATGTGGTCATGTATTATTTCTTTTTCAACCTGAATTATTAAAACAGTAGTAGACACACTGGTCTGTCTGTCTGTAATCGAATGAAATAGTCACCCTGTTTTGCTGAATATAGTGGAGCGTTTATTTACCGGAACAGGGAATGTAACTGTGTATTCCAAATTGTTGTATTCCATGGTAATTGTCCCAGATGATCATCAAGCATTGGAGCGTTACTCACAACAAACGACAACAAACGGCTTATCGTGCCTTTACCCGGTTTTATAGTTTTTCCGATTATTCTGCCACCATCGTCGTAGCCTTGGACACCTGGTCCACATTTTTTATTCCTTCTTTTCCTGATGGTCTGTAATCTTTTCCTTGCATTCATAAGCGACCTGGGGCCAAAATCATTGCTGTTTGCAGATCAAACCAAAATTTGGAATACAGTGACGAAACCAACGGGCTCACTGGCACGACAGGAAAGCCTGAAAGCAGCTGTTCCCCGGTCTCTTTTGAACGATATTGAATTCAATGTGCCAAAGTGTAAGGTTCTATCTGTACGACACAACGGGTGATTTTCGTATTTCCTCGAACATAAACAACCGCCACACGCCTCAAGTGAGAAGGACCTAGGCCTCATCACTCGAGAAAACTTAAGCCGCTCGCTCAACTGCGTCAAGGTGTCGAACGCGGCTGTAAAAAATGTCGGTCTGTCTGGCCAGTTTGAGTCAGCGCTTTTCCCCCGTCTACTATACATACATCCGCCCACTCACAGAGTACGCTATCCAGGCATGGCATCAATAGCTACAACGTGATTGCAAAATGCTGCATGGCCATCAAAATGGTTAGGAGGTTGAACCGTTATTTATACACAGAGAGACTGAAGTTGATGGGGTTATATCCCAAAGACTAACGGCGCATCAGAGGAGATATGATTATGGTACACCAAATAATGCTAAACCTAAGCCATCCGTGGCACCCGCTGCTATAATTATCACCCAACGTTCAGTTTAGAGGACATCCGTTCAAACTAGGGGTCTCAAAATACCGATTGGAATGCCGGCGTCAGTTATTCGCAGTCAGAGTGTGTTTGCTCTGGAACTCTCTCCCACCCCATGTTTTCTATGCGTCAAGCATCGGGTCTTTTAAACAGAGACATGATAAAGCATTAGCAAATCCCACATTCCAACATAAGTGAAGCTGCGTGCCGCAGTGGAAGAAGCACTTATCATGTAACATTTTACACAAGGAATTGTATGTATCAATCTTTTTTAACCACAAACCTGTGGGACGAGAAAAGCATGAGCATGTAAGTTATTCTCATAATAAATCTTTGATCTTTGATCATTCAGCCGGTATTTGAGATGTCCTAATCTACGCATGTTTTCGAGAGAACTTACTTCAAAACGCATCGTGAAGAAACTATTCCAGAAAAAAAAACGATTCGGAACTCCTTATCAAAAGGAATACGATGGCTGGGCAGCAAGTTCCCGGATGTTAAAAATGTTTCATTTGTTACACACACACAGGTCCATGTACTCAAACCATTTGGTGAAACAGCTCGACCATGCCCGTCAGTCAATTTAATAAAGGGTTCCATTGCATTTGTTGGTGACTCTGAGCCGATTTTCGCTTGATCTCTGGGTCGAAATTGCACATCAGTAACGATCGCCCAAACTGCATTGGAACGTCCACGATCAAACTTTGCAAGCATTATGCGGCACCAAATCATCCGAACTGCTTTCTGTTCCTCACTGAGCTGCTGAGGCACCTAGTATGCGCAAACGTTTCCGGGACTGTGCTCCCGGCTGTGTTGATATTTGGTTCTGTGTGAGTTGCAATCACTGAACAGTATTCGCAATCTTCACCT